CCATTCACTCACATGTGAATCAGGAGAGTGCAGAGGTTAAGGCCAGTATGAAGGGAAATCATCCTGTAAGCTGAAAATGTGTCCTAGCTGGTCCTGAGCTCTCATTTATCCTGGGGAAGGGACTCAGCCAGGAGCTGCACTGCCTGTTCCCACACACAACAAAATGCTTCATCCTTCCTCAGTCCAGGAACTTACACAGAAGCTCAGGGAGAAATTTGGGGTGGAAGACCTGTTAAAGACAAATTGCCATCACTTGCTGACAGGGGGATCAACTGGAAAGCAAAATAAAATTATGCATAGAGTCATGGGGAATCTATACTAGTTTACCAGCATCAGAGCTGCTCTCTGTTCATTTTTGTGGTGAAAAGGTTATAATTTAAGTACACTTGACAGGTACACACAACCAAGTGGAAAGCTTTTATTCAGTAAATCTTTTTTTTTTTTTTGTTACATAAGAAGGTTGACTTTACTGTAGGCATTGCACTGCATAAACAGAACATGTCTGTTTAAACTGTGTTGGAGACACAACAGTGAAGAAAAAGGTCTAAAAATGGAAAGAATCAACAGTTGCCAGCAGCAAAAGGGCACAAACACAGGGGAAAAAAAAAAAATCTTGTTCCTTGGAGGCTACTACAAGTTACTTGCAGTAACTTGTTGACAGTGTTGTCAACAGGGTGAGATGTTGCTTTCCAGGCAGAAGTAGAATTACTTATGCTGTGCTAGATTGCCATTATTGACTTGTGCCATGTTGTCTAGGACGACCCCACTGGAGCAGGGAGGTTAGACCATATAACAGCCAGGGGCCCACTGCACTAGAGCTGAGCTCGTTCAAACACATGGAATTTCAGGACAAGAAAGAACTGCAGTGCCTTTCCTGCTCCCAGGTACCCATCCTGTGTTTCTGTGACTTCTGCCTTTTACTCTGACTAGTCAAAAAGACATCACGAAAAAATCCCCAAACTATTGCCTTTATTTCAGAATCTGCCAAAAAACACAAACAAACAAAAACAGAAGTAAAATTACTGAAATTACTGAAATCTAGCCCTAACCTAATACAGTCACTTTACAGGGTACACTTTACAGCATACACATCTGTATATGCTGTGGAGGGGAGCAATGCTAATCACACAGAAAAGGTCAGGTTGGAGGGGACCACAGTCGGTCTGGTGCAACCTCCTTACTCAAGCAGGATCATCCACAGGACTGCATCCAGACGTTTCCCGAATGTCTCAAATGAGGGAGACTCCACAGCCTCTCTGCGCAAACTGTCCCAGCAAAGTTCTTCCTCATGTCCAGCTGGAACTCCCTGTGCATCAGTTTCTGCCTACATCAGTCGTCTCATGTCC